CTCCTCTGTGTTGTGTTTTATCCTGTGATTGAGATTCCCCCCATTCCCTAATCTCCCCAATCCCTGAATCTCCAATATAATGTTACAGATGTCCATGGGGACGCCGATTGCTTACCATCAGGTGATCCGTCTGCCCGTTTCCTGGCCTATCCCATAAAAAACAAACGCCTCACTATTACCTCCATTCCCACTAACTCAGACTGAAGCAATAATAACAAGTTTGAGACCAATTATGTATTAAACTAAGTTAGGTATCGCCTTCAGATATTTCGCAATAATATCAACAACTTAATGAATACAGATTCCTATCTAACCTTTCAATGAAACAACAACCACAATACAGAAATAGATAGTCCATCGCTATCAAATATCAATTTGTATGGCACGGTGCCATCAGGCAATGCAACTACAAAACAAACAACTAACTGAAATCAATGGCAATCTTTGTTCGCGATAGAATCAACTAGTAATTACAGACAATAGGAAAATTATCACGATATCAGTTTACAAAGAATATCTGGCTTTAATGTACCAGTTACGGGTACCGTCGACGCAGGAAGGCCGCACGCCGGTCGTACCAGGCACACTTTCATATCTTGACTGTACCTCCAACTCTACATATAGATATAGTATATCTACTCACCTATATTGTACAGCGCTAAACGGGTCATAGCTTCGTGATCCAAGCTCGTTTGTTAGGACTCGCTAACAGCTGTTTCGCTTTGATACCACTTACTAAGAAAGTTTTAATAAACACTTAAACTCTGTGCTGTTTATCCAGGCACTGCTTGATTGGTGCAAATCAATTTAATCTTTGTTATGAAGATAAAGATATGCTTCAATATATTTAATGAATGTGCCAATAATATGGATACTTCACAGCTAGTCGAATTCAATACTATTCCGAAACTACACACATAAGTAGCACATAAAAGAATTGCAACAGGAACAACTAACGACGCAAGCCAAAGACGATGAAATAGAATCTGAACTAGAGAATGCGGAAAAAATTAAAACGATACCGTGAGATAAAATGAAGTTGCGAGACTTCATTGCGTCACAATACAAACAAACGGCTGGACAAAACAACATCTAGGCGATATTTCCAAAACACAAGTTATAAAATGTAAACGTTAATATTGATAAAAGTGCGAGGTCTGGCGTGTGAATGAGCAGTTTTCCACCTCTCATGCGTAATAGTCGAGTAACAATGAAGATCTGTGCTGCTGTCTTTCTTTCAACCATTTGCATCGTGAATGCGTTCAGCTCGACGCGCTGTTTATTCTTCAATAAAAAGTGTAAGTGCTTGTTCCATTTTATAGTAGAAAAAAGACAAGAGTATATCAGGATTATATAATACCCATTTCGCAATTTACCAGTTACATAATTAACTTATTATTAATCCCCTAGCAACTAGTTGTTCCACAGGGTAGTATCCTGGGTCCTATTATTTGAGTTAGACAAACAATACTCGAGTTCTTATAATCTGATGTCGTAGAAAATCTTGAAGAGAGACGATTATTAATGTATCTGTTACATTGATTGCTGTAATTTTAGTATGTTCTAAATTAGAATGAAATAGTCCTCTACCTGGAAATCAATTAACTAAGCATGATAACTTACACAAGATTTTCACTGTTTCAGGTGTAGACCATTGTCCACGTAATATGCATCCATATCACACACGATGCGATGGACAGACGATGTCGCAACGTACTTGCGACGATCCCCAAACATATGTTATAGGTAGGAACGTTACTTTATAGATCAGACATTTTGTGGTTAATTACCAACAGGGTCTGACTAGCCCACAAGGTACCAGGTGGAAAACAGTCCAAGGCCTAAGGCTGAGTGTGCCTTGTCTGTAAGGGGCTCGCGAAAGTTGAACTCCGGTTAGGAAGCACCATCATAAAAAGTGCCTGATAGGTAAAAAGAAATAATGACCCTATTATGTCTAATAGGATCATTATTTCTGACCTGTCGGTCTTCAACAGTATTTTGGCCAAAAACAATCATGCAGATGGGTCATATTTACTAGGGATATGCTCTCAGAATTCTACTAATTTATACCAATAACCTCAATCAATGAAACTTAAATCTTAAAGCAAAAGTTTTAGGACTGATTTTGGTTTACCTGCAACAGGCTACACGTGTGGATGGTCTCGATGTGATTGCAATGGTGATATGGCCCTTGATGAAGATTCAAGACTCTGCGTTCCATACAAAAACTGTCCTCCAACGGTGCCTCGCGGAGCCAAACGACACAGACGAAGATTCAGCAAACGTGGACACAAACGTGTCAAGCCTCCGAAACCAGATGCATATGAAAGAGAAATGCGTGATTGATTTAATTTTATAAAGTTGTGTGTATAGCTATTTGTTTTTAATTTTTGCACTTCATCCCAAAACGACCAGTAGTGTAGTAGATGATTTTTTGTGATTACATTCTTGCGATAATTAGGTACTCGGATTGTTACAGAATTAATTCTCTTATGTCAGTAGTACAATAGGACCTTAAGTGCAGGAGTAGGAACGGGATGGTGTTTAATGAGTAAGAGTCTGACACTCCCTCTCACCTAACCCAGGCGGGAGAAGTCATTCGTTAATTTCCCCCTCATAAAAAAACCATAAATATCAATTTCTGTATAACCAACAACAAGAAATAATCAAAAATCGATGAGATTCTATTGTTGTCAAAAATGTGGAAAGTTTACGAATCACTTCCTAAGTAGGTTCATACTATGAAAGAAATACTAATAAACAGGAAGGCACCTTCAGCGGTGTGTTAGCAAAGTTTACAAAAATAATGTTTGCGTTACAATTTCAATCAAACATCCATTCATACTACGGAAGATGGAATACCAACAAATACTCGTGTTCATTTCCCTTGAAGACGGACAGTGGTGAAGACGTGATGCATCAGACCCTGATAATCCTGTGCCTCATACATGCTGCAACTGCTATTTACTACGGCAAAGTTGGAAACAGCAATTGTTTGATGTACAACGGCACTTGTGAGTAACATTTGATTCATATCTTTTCGTTGATTAACATTTAAATTAATATGTTAGTTTTAGTGTGAATGACATAGGATTTCAGACACAGTTATTTCATAATAACACATGAATCGCTGATAGACATTACAATGAAATTCTGAAAACACACCAGGAGATAGTGTGATATTAAAGTTGGAATTATTTGTTAAAATTTTGAAAAAATACCTATTACAGGTTTAAAGAATAAGAAATAAGTATTGGTAAAGCGAATACAAAGCTTGATCTAATACAAAACGAAAGAGCACGAAAGTAAAGTTTAAAGTAATTGGTTATTGAAATTCATAGATGAAGCACCGTGCTTCTATACTTAGGTCCTCAAATTAAAATAGACTAGAATTTGCAGCAGTGTAACTAATAAACCACGCCTAATAATAATGTTTTTCGGCACAAATACCTGTAGCAAAACACGACTGAAGCCATTAATTAAATCCCCTTTAAAATATTACAGCTATTATTTGAAGAGTTCAAAGTTAGTTTGAATTAGCAATTAGTGCGTAAATTGCCTCAAAACTTAGTTCTTTATAAAGTTGTTCTGCGTTAGTTTGTAGTTTAGGCACTGAAGCCTAGGGGTGAATCTAAAAATAATCTGCTTATCTACTTAGGTGCTTCGCAAAACCTAAATGTCTATGACATAACAAGGACTATGTACCTAATAATACTAGTTAGGTAATTGAAAGCCAATTACCTAAGTATTTTAGAAACATTGACGTGGAAATGTTTGAGTAAGTAGATTTGTATTAGATAATTTTTTTAGCGTAGGAATCTCTTTCATTCGCGAATGTACGTAATCTTTACATATACAATAAATTCTTTGCCATGTCATGTAGGTAATTAACGAGGAGTTTTACCTAAGTCTTTCAACCCTCAGGGAATAGGGAACTCTTTTGGGAAACCACAAGTTTATTGGCAACCCAATTTTATATTAGATGTTTATTTTAAATTTTGTACATTCCTGCAGGTGTACCCGAATGTCCGGAACACATGCACCGTGTAAACAGCGAATGTCGGCCGACTCCGTCGCAGAGAAGTTGCGACGAACCAGTCGCAATATCTATGGGCATCATCTGCGGCTGGTCGCGATGCGATTGCGACTTCCCCTTCGTCCTACATTTGCCTTCAGGCTATTGCTTCTTGTACGAAGATTGTCCGTGATTGGATAACGGATTCCATTAGAATGGAATATTGAATTTAAAATTATGTTACGCTAGGAATTGATTTGTTGTGAGAAATAAATTGTTGTTTTTTAAGTGGTTGTATTTTTTTTCACCTGTAGGTGGAGTTTTGATTTCAGTTTCCATTTAATTTTAGTTTGTAATCCCTGGGATTGAAACGAAAATATTATATTACCTATTTGAAAATCAATTGCAGCCACACTGTGCTAAAATCAAAGCACTAACTTTCTATTAGCCTCTTATTTGGTGAATTCTGTTACCATCTACATATTATAGGTAACTAATTTAGTTCTATAAAAAATACATACATACAAAAGAGGGAGAAGGTAGTGAGGCTAATAAAACGGACACCCAGGTTTACGATTTTACCCTAAAAGACAACTACTTACATACTTATTCTGTCGAAAATCATTCGAACATAGTACCTCCTCCTTCTTTTGAAGTCGGTAATAAAATCTGGTCTATAGCCAGTTAGCTATACTATGTCGGACCGGCAAATAAGTAGGAAATCGGCTGCCGGATAAGGTTCAATAGAAGGACGATTAAAGCATTTCCACACCTTTTCCTCCAACTACCTAAGTACTAGACTTGGACACTTATTACTTTTCAGTAGGTTGTAAACCAGTAACAAAGATGTCGCTATCTGCAAAATGCTTGCCAGTGGTTGGTTGCAAAGGGCTGAAGATCGGAGAGGCCTATGTCTACCAATAATTGGAAACCAGCTGATAATGATAAACCAGTAACATATTATTTAACAAAGTTCTTATTACAGGTACACCGGCCACTGTCCCATGCTGAAGTTTCGCTTCGGAAAATGCTACGGAGACAACACGAGACAAATACTTCGAGAAATACGCTCTAAGGGACTATTCAAGTAAGTCATGTCACCAAAACAAGTTATAAGAAAATTTTCGTGCCCTCGATCAGTTTCACCGGAACTCATGAATAAATGAGCTAAGTGTGTGCATTATCCGATTCGGAGTCGCGGAGAACCTAACGGGTAACCGGGGCTCCGGCTCGACGTGTAGGAGAAGGAACGGGGTGGTTTTTAGTCAGTAAGAGTCTGACACTCCCTTCTGCTTCACCCAGGCGGGAGCAGCCATTTGATGATTTTCCCCCCTTAAAAAAAAATGTGTGCATTATAAATTCTATTTAATATTTGTCACGATAGTTATTTCATAAAAATGCGTAGGCTGTAGGTACAGAACCTAAGAAGACCGTTTTCCAAGATACGATAGACCTTACAAGGGCAACAACAAATTAATTCAAACGGAAAGCTTTGACGTCCTATCTTAATTAAGTGCCCTTCTTATCTCATTACTTACGCTTACGTAATCTGTGCCTAATTAACTTGAGCCACCTAAATATGGTGGAATTGATTATACATTAAAATAGACTTAATAAGTAGGTAGGCGAGTGCCTTGTTGGCTGAGTGGCTGCAAGTGCGATTGCCAGGTCGAACAAAGTATTACTGGGCTATTAAAAAACAAATCAGTAACAGCACGGAATCTGGAATTGTGCCCGGTATATGGCAATAGGCTCACCCCCTATTACATGGGACTCATAACATAAATAATGAAATGTGGGTGTTACATTGTACAGTGGCATTAAGTGCCGTAATGTGCACCGCTGCCTACCCCTTCGGGGATAAAAGGCGTGATATTGTGTGAAGTAGGTACAGTTAAGTAACAGCAGTAACATTAAACGTAATTATTATGTAAGGTGGTTATTTTTCTAACTCTTTGCAAGGTTGCCTCATCGTAAACCTCAGTTTAAAGTATCATCGCTCATTAAGATGTAGACTAACACCTTAATGTTAATGAGGGGTGATAGGTACTTAATTTATACACCTTACCCCTCTCCCCTTGCATTGCACATTGCATGAATTTTTGTCTGACAGATTCGTTAACAGTCGAAACGCCATTTTATGTTTTGATGCAAAATGAAATTAATACAAGTTTCTTTATTCAATCAGTATTTAATATTATAATGTACAGCTACTGCAACGTTTGTCACAAACTATTGTAGGTATGCCTAACATGGTGGAGCAGTGCCTAAACACAACAACTTTTAGAACAACCTTTGTAAAGATCTTTGACTTTGACCCCTTTCCCCCAATCTCCCCAATCCCTTTATCAAATCCAACAATCCTCAAAAGGCCGGTAACACACTTGTAACTCCTCTGGTGTTCCGGGTGTCCATGGGCAACACCGATTTCCGCCGGCTTATCCCATAAAAATATCTACTAGCAACGATATCAAGTCTTCATCTTACAAAAATCGTTCAAATCTTCACTTACCTTCCTTTCAGTAAGCCATTGGAGTACCGTCCTCGGGATAATTACGAGCTGAACAATCTACCTCGCTTCGAGGAACCACAGCGGGACATTTACGACGGCATCAGGAACAAGCCACCAGCACACATGACGGGGTACACTGGTTATGTTCCCGGGATGAATTTCAGGTAAGAATTAGACTATGTTTTTTGGGATATCCAGAACGACGGATTAAGAAATCCATCGTCCCAGTTATCCCATGTGTTATTGTCCATCAAGTGATGATAAGCAATAGGGTAGATGCCTAATTTTTATTTTAATGTCCGTCTGGTAGATTATTTTAAGTCATTAGACACGTATTTTTTATTTTCTCACAGAAACGAATATTTACGAAGACATATTGATGTGAAATGTCGCGTGACGTCACTTCTATGTGCATTTTATACGTAGAAATGACGTTCTGGTCCCAACTCCTAATCTTTGATTAAATAAAAAAATAAAAAATACGTGTCTAATATTTTGTCATTACCTAACTTACGGACTAATTAGATTTTTAATTTTCATACCCTGTCATCATCCATCAATTTAGCATTGTCTAAGAATACTCGCAATATCGGAAACTCCGTAACTTCACCTACTTAGAGGAAACCAATGCTTGCATTAATGCGACAGACACACATCTTGATGTTTTATCTGTGCCTATGTATGTTTATCGCTCTGTAATATAAGCTTACAAAATAAATGTGATCCAATTTCCTCCGACCGATTGAGCAGTTTTTTTTTATATTTAATTTTAGTGACTTTCTTTTCGTTTCATATACCTATATTTATTCAAATCATTAGTTATTTCAATTCATACTTGTACGGAACGGAAATGTCAAGGATTATTTTAGATTTGGAATTTACGATGACCATAAAAGGGTCGGTTATGGAATCAAGTTCAAGTGAGCGTGACAGTGTAGCGTTTACAATACAAACGGCTGTTATTTCTGTAGGATATTTCAGTCAGACTTAGAAGAAGAGAATAAAAATGTATTAATGATAACAAAACATGATACTTTGACGTAAACAATGAAACATATATTTATTATATTTTGTTTAATTGACCAAGTGACTGAAAGGCCAGGCATAGTTGTAGGTACTAAATAACCTTATATATTCTGCAGTCGAATGCCCATAAAAATGTAATACGCTTCGACAAATCAATTTTAATCAGAAATCTAATTGTTTGCTTTAACAAATTATAAATACCAGTACTTACTCTATCTTATCGAAATAATATAAGACACATTTTAAAGTCAATCACGATTGGTATAATGGAATTAGCGCTAATAAATGATAACAAATAATCTAAACTAAGATTTAAGCAAGATAAGCAAATAAAAAAATGTTTATTATGAATTTCAGTTACGGGAAATCATATGGACGGACAGCAGATGACTGCATGGCGAACTTTACAGAGAGACAAAGGGAATTAAGACGCAAAGCAGATTTCAATAGAAGTTATATTCGCTCAAGAAGCGCGCCCAAGATGGAAACGGTTCATTCCAGAGATGAAATCCGACGGGACTTGAACAGATTTAGAGAGATTAATAAATATAAAGGTATGTTTTGTGAACTGGGCTAAGCTTTTGACTGTGGAAAGTATAAGGATTTCACTACAAATATGTATAAACACATTAAGCGTCTAGTAGGCTTTTATGAAATAAAAATAAAATAAAATCGTTTGATAAACAGAAGTGAGAGCCTTTAGACTCCATATTAAAATAAACTGTTGCAGTAAAATGGTGTTCTTCAAGGAAGTAACATTGGACCAACTTTAATTTAGTATTTTATTTTACAGAAAACACAATATCGCCCGAATTCCCACCAATAGCGGGTTACACGGGCCACATTCCACGAATTAAGGGATCTGAAGCCTCTTTAAGTCAACGATACCACTGCGCAGCAAAACGCGGTTTGGAGCTCATCAAAATGGAAAGAGAGAATCGTCAAGAGTTACAAAATGCTGACACGAATATTAAAGCAATTTTGAAAGAAAATGGAAAAAAGTATTCTTATTGGAACTGGGGATAGCATACAGGCAGAAGAATGTTCTTCACCAAGAGACGGTGAACATTCTTCTATAAAATGGAACGAACAGTATTTACTTAGAAGAATTAAAGCGGTTTCGAGTCAGTATACTAGATTTGTACGTCATTGAAGTCAGTGTCCATAGGCCTATTTTTAATGAATAAATGAAGAAATTATATTTTAGTAATAAGGGGAAGAAATCAGACATTTGAGGAATAAACTAAGCACTTTTAATGTGGCTATAAATAATTGAACAGTTATCGGAACAGGAATTTATACGAGTAATATGAACTCTGGCATTTGGTCATTGGTTGTCTTCCTCATTTAATAGAGCTGCAAGTAATTAACGTTAGGAAGTAATCATCATCACATAGTTTCCGTCCATAGCTGGACTTAGACTAGGGGATTTAGCTCTTCATTCAAGTCAATTGAATTTTACGCTATTCCAGATTTCAAATAGTATGGCTGTGTGTGCGTGATTAATTTGAAAATGCATTTGCGGTAACGCCCTATTGAGTGCTATCATTTTTTTTAAATCACAATGCTGAATGAGGTTTCCTGAGAAAATGTGATATGTTTAAGAAATCAACATTTAAAATTCATTGTCGACGGAATATCTAACGTTTCAACTTCATGGCATTTAGTGCACAAATAGAGGAATGCATGCAAAGAGTATTGTGACCATACTTCCAATTTGACAATGCATGGAGTACAAACACTGATATATAGATTTATATGTTCTACTGTAAACATAAGAAAATAAACTAAATAGTTATTGGGAAATTACTTGTTTCATTAATATACAAGCTTCGGCCAACGGATTCGCCTGCGTTCCCACGGGTATAAGTAGCCCATGTATTACTCGAGACCGTACCTAATCTACCCCTGATCCAAATCATCCCGGTCCCGGGATGATTTGTTCGGCAGAATTTAAGGCCAGAGTGTAGCAAATGGTGCGCAAGAGATTTGGGACTTAGAAAAATGTTCAGCAAAACAGCGTATTGTAAAGCTGGCGGCAACACACGCAGAAAGCGGGGGGCCTACCAAGCCTGGGTTAACGCGGCGGTGGCACGGGATGTAAATACCAGAGCACTAAAAAGGATTATAACTTTGCCTCAAAGTCCTTCAAAAAAGCTATTGCGGGGGTCAAGTCGCTGCACTGAGCACAACACATATATGATGGGGATGCATATGCATGCATCCCCATCATATAGATGGTTGGCAGGCCACAACTGTGCGCTTCTCACGTAGCTTCCTGCCTCGCACAGCAAAACTGTGGAATGATCTGTCGTCGGCGGTATTTCCGAACCGATACGACCTTCAAACCTTCAAGAAAAGAGCGTACTCCTTTTTAAAAGGCCGGCAACGCACCTGTGGCTCCTCTGGTGTTGCGGGTGTCCATGTGCGGCGCTGATCGCTTACCATCAGGTGATCCGTCTGCTCGTTTGCCTCCTATTCCATAAAAAAAGCTCTCTAAAAGGATTATTTAATCAAATTTTCTTCAAACACATAAGTATATGGTCTTAGGAATATTTATTTTTTCTTCAATTAATTCTATTAGGTAATAACAGCTTTTAGGTACTACTCCAGTGTAAAAACGTGGACTATTCACTATTTTCAGCAATGTGTATTCGGTATTCCAATGTCTTCCATGCCTCTTGTATTTTATCCTATATAATTAAGTTGCTGCTGCCCGAACTAGATTTTATTTGGAGGGATGTTATTGCCGGTGATGACTGTTTTTGCCTCACTGATGGTGTATTTGAAATATCACTGTCATATTCTTCCTGGGTAACAAATAATTTCCTTTCCTTAGATGAGGTGGAGGGTGATGGCTTGATAGTATTACAAGTCGTTATTTTAAGTGGTGATGTACAAACTGAATTACTGAAAGGTTTCAATGGTGATGTAACTTGATTTAATCCATAAATTTTTGTTTGCACTGATTTACTTCTGAATTTCTTGTCCTGTGTACTTGAATGCATTATTTGCTATCATAAGTGCATCTTGTGTAGTCATTGCATTGGATCCTAGAGTCCAGAGAGTTGAGTTGCTGTGGATGCAGCCAGAAAAACGCTCAGATGGGAATCTTCATTTTGTGAAACATTTTCTTGCAACACTGAAAAAATAAAAGTATTTTTAAAAACTTACAAAATAACAACAGTGTAGTCTTTTTGATCGGGTTTATGATGATGATTTTGATTATCATGAATGTTTAATACATTATGTTTGTATTAAAAATGTGATGTTTGTATTAAACATTCATGAAGAACCAATAAGATATAGTAAATAAATAAGATATAGTAATTAATCCTCCATAATCTAAGTCTTGTCCTGAAGAAATTTTCTACTTGACTTATTCTCAGTCTTTCATACTTGTATTTTTTATGAATGACTATCTTGACAAAATAACTAAGAATATGGGGTAAGAGTTAAGACATGGTATGGGTATAATATGAATGTCATTAGTCTGTAAATAATAATGTACACCGATTCAAAGTATGATTCAAACAAAATTATTAAGTTCACACCTGTACTTCCCGATGAAGACTACTTATTAAAGTCTTTGAGACTCTCTATCTGCCCTGTTGTCTGATTCTTTTAGCAGATCTCTAATCAACTCCTTCCTTTGTTTTTTTAAAACATAACTTTGCCGTTCTATTTTTGGTTTATCAGGGTGACAAGCAGAAGGCATTTGTGACTGCGTTTGGTTATCCATATTATTCGGTAACTGAAATATAAATAAAACTATTAGTATTATGTGATAAAACATAGCAGAAAATATGAAAGGTGAAACCTAACCTCGAAGTTTAAATATTGAACCGCGTTATAAATATACCTAATGATTTGGATTGATAATCATTGAATGACTGCTCCCGCTTAGGTGAGGCGGGAGGGAGTATCAGGCTCTTAGTGACTAAAAACCATCCCGTTCCTTCTCCTGCGCTTCGAGCCGGAGCCCCGGTAACCCGTTAGGTTCTCCGCGACTCCGAATACTCGGCGAATAGGCATCAGCCCTATTGAGCCCCATCCGTGGTTGCTCTTTGAAGCGCGCGCGGAACGCGACGCGCCGTACGCTTGGGATGATTTGGATACTGTGTACCTAGAATTTACAAAATATAAGTGAATACTTACGTGAAACGTAGTAGTAGTTATAACACGTCTTGCAAGTTTTTTAATTCGTATCGTTTTGAAACGAATTTAAAGAACTTGTCCGGGCCTTTTACAGTTGTACTATTACTGCACAGTGCACACAGAGTAGCGAACTAGCGAGCGATGGCCGTTGAATCAACGAACTAGTTGAATCCAGTGTTGCCAACGGTGCTGGCCCTAATTTCAGTTTATAGTAGCCTAAAGTAGCCGAAACACCAAAATATCAATAGTACTTATGTGAATAAAATGAAATGTAGTTCTTAACGAGAGTGAATTTGTTACCTATTAAGACTAAACAAAGTTTTTATTCATTAAACAAATCACACGCCTAGTTTTTATCACTTTATTTTTAATACGTTAGATAATACATAGATAAAACAAATCAATGAAATTAGGTACATAGTTAACATTTAACATAAAACTAAATAAATAAAATCAAAATAGAATTATTCAGATTTCTCCTCCTAGTAATACTAAGGCATCAACAAGACTTTCGCCCTCTTTGGTACCTAGTAGTAGTTGATGTGCTAGTACTGGCCTGGCGCAAGATCTAGAGGTGACGTACATTTTTCTACCAGCGTGCAAACTATGGTGCAAACTCACCATGTGTGATTGCTTAGTTGAAAATACTGCTATAAATACTCTTACATTCATATGGTTATGAATTCTAAGAATGGCGATCAATAACAGCAAATTGTACCAACATTACATACACGCATGGCCGCATGCCCCTTGGCCTAGGTACTATTATATAAAAAAAAACTTAAAACATTTAATAAGCCCTAGAGTGGAGTAGCCTAATTGGCGACCAGTCGACCTTTAGATTTTTTCGTCGCCGATTCTCCTTCTGAGTAGCCGAAATGGCGAAAACGTTGGCAACACTGGCGATGGCCGTTGAATCAACGAACTAGTTGAATCAACATTGTTGACGTCTCGTTAACGGAATTAACGTTGACCGTGTACAAATCAATTCGTTGAATTCGTCAACGTGTTAGGTAGGTACCCAGTAGCGAGACAACAACGTTTATGAATTCAACTCGTCGTTTCATTTCATCGTTTGACGAATTCAACAAATTGAATTGATTTGTACACGGTCGACGTTTAGTTATTATCTAAGTAGGTAAGTACCTACGTAAATTTTTAAGAATAAACGTAATTCTTTAAGAATAAACCTCCCGCTACGACGCGATAGTCGTGCCAAGAATTTGAGCTCTTACTAAATAACGAATACAAGATTTTATAATTATTTAGTAATTTGATCTATGTCGTTATTTATAAAGAAAGAACGATGGCACTTAATTGTTAAAAAAAATTATATTATCACATTAGGTAAACTGCATCATATTGTTCGTTAACTAATATAACCAACATTTACAACAGCATACGCGTTAAGGCGTTTAGCGTTTATGCAAGTTGACGAAATTAACTAGTTGATCAACTAGTTGATAAACGCAACTCAGCGTTAACGTTTCCGGGAACGAAACGATAACGTAACGGAACTTAGGTATATCGAACGTGACGTCACAAGCGACGCCATCGACAGTTTGAAGCGTTTTGGCGGCAATGAAAGTATATAGGTACAGTTAAATATATGTACTTAATTTAATATTTATTCCTTATTTTAATCAAAAATTTGATGTACATTGTATATATTATAATATTTATTTATAAACCTAAAAACCTAGTTTTATTTTAATTTGGCATCATGCCTGTTATCGAAATTCTCAATAAATACACGGATTCTGAAATGTTTCCTAATGTACTATGCCTCGCAGGTCAATCTATCCCTACTCCTTTCTGTAATTTGATTTCCAAATTAAATTAATTAAAAACCCAATTTTTTTTTAATTCGGCATCATGCCTATTACCGAAATTCTCAATAAATACACGGATTCCGAAATGTTTCCTAATGTACAATGCCTCGCAGGTCAATCTATTATCTATCTTCTTTGTGTAATTGATTTCCAACTTTTTAATCCTTACTAATCCTTACTAATAATATTATAAATCGGAAAGTGAGTTTGTTTGTTTGTTCCGCTTTCACACCATAACTACTAAACCGATTGCTTTGAATTTTTGCAGATGTATAGTTAGAAGTCTAGATTAAATAATAGGGTACTTTTTATCCCGGAAAAAATTGATATTCCCGAGGGAAAACAAAAGTATTGGTATAGATGGCGCTGTGTATACACAATTCGTATATGTCACATTGGCTTTTTATCCTTTTTATTAATAATTTATTATTAATTTATATGAAATAAAACAACGTGCTTTCTTCTCAACAAGACAGAAGGAATGGAATGAATTTTATTATAAGGTCACTGATGTACATTGCTGTTAACAGGTGGCGCTGATAGTTGTTTTGAGGAAATTATAACACCCCCACTCTCAAAATACTATATTATTCTAATACATTTACAATGCCTAACATATTTATAAATTTATAATGTTTAGTTGAACACAAACTTTTAGTCAACATATCAGCTGGCATATTGCTGGTGGGTAAATAATTAACTTTAACAAACTTTTTAGAAATTACTTCTCTACAATAGTGATACTGAACATCTATATGTTTAGTTCTGTTATGAAACATAGGATTCTCAGACAATTTTTGTGAGCTTTGATTATCATTATATAAATTAATTGTATACATTTGTTCAGTAATCTCACATTGCAAATTTAAGAGAAACACAGCTTCTCTACAACCTTCGGTAATAGCCATGTACTCGGCTTCTGTGCTCGAAAGCGCTACAGTTCTTTGTTTTTTACAGCTCCATGAAATGACTGAACCTGACAACATAAAACAGAAACCAGTATATGATCTTCTGTCTGTAGGATCATTTGCCCAATCGGCATCAACATAACCTTGAATATTAACATTACCTATTTTACAATACTTTAAACCTAAATTTCTAGTTTTCTTTAAATATCTTAATATTCGTTTTGCATACGTCCAATGTTTATCACTATGACATTTATTAAATTGACTTAAGTATCCTACTGCATAGGCAATATCTGGCCTTGTAAGTACTGCTAAGTACATCAGGCTCCCTATGAGCTGCTGGTAAGGATTATCACTATTTGTACCTTCATATTTCTCAATATTTAACTTAACTTCCAGTGGAGTATCTACAGCTTTACTCTCACACATATTAAATTTAAATAATAACTGATCAATATAGTTTTCTTGGCTCAAAGTAATAAAATTATTCTCTTTATCAATATTAACATTTATACCAAGACATTGTTTTATCTGGCCTAAATCTTTAATTTTAAATTGGCTACTCAAAGTCTCTTTTAACAACTTAGTTTCTTCACTATCATTAGAAAATATGAAAAAATCATCAACATATAAAGTAACTATTGTCCTGAGACCATTTACAATTTTTGTATACAAACATGGTTCTAATTTGGAATTTTTATAACCACTAGTTAACATAACATTATCAACCTTTTTATGCCATGCTCTGGAGGATTGTTTTAAACCATATATAGCCCTGTTTAACTTTAGAACTTTACATTTGTCATCATTAGAACATTCTAAACAGTCTGGCCTTTGCATATATATGACTTCTTCCAATTCTCCGTTAAGAAACGCAGTCTTAACATCCAGATGGCTAGTATTTAAATCTAATTGTACAGCTAAAGCAAACAACAATCGCAAACTAGTATGCCTAACTACAGGGGAAAATGTCTCTTTGTAATCAATACCACTTTTCTGACTGCACCCTTTAGCAACTAGTCTAGCACGATAACAAATGTTATTTTTACTGTCACACTTTTTTTTTAAAACCCACTTACACTTCACAATTGTCTTATCTAATGGAGCATCCGCAAGCTCCCATGCATTATTATCTTCGAAGCACTGTAGTTCTTCCTGAACAGCACGCAACCAATGTTCCTTCTCTGGACCATTTAGAGCTTCCTCCAAAGATAACTCACTGTCATTAACAGTGGTACTCGTTGTACTCATACATGTATAACCATACCTCTTTGGTGGCTTTCGTTCTCTAGCAGGTAATCTCTTTACCATACTGCTAGTACTTGCAGTAGAACTGTCTGAGTTTACACTTTCATCTAGCACAAATGTAGAATCATCAGCATTATCTGCAGAGATGAATGACTCATCTGACTGACTATTGTCCCCCACTGAATCTGAACTCTTCTGCTCTTCTAAATTAGTTTCCAAATTCTTCTCATTTACTATTACATTGCTGCTCTTGTCCTTCTCGATAACAATCACATCTCGGCTTGTAGTAATTACCTTGGTTTGAGGATTATATATTCTATATCCTTTTGTATCTTCAGCATAACCCACCAGGATACACTCTTCAGATTTCTCATCCCATTTTAGCCTCTTTTCTTTAGGCACATGCTTCATTATGGTACTACCAAACACTCGGATGTGACTAATATCAGGTTTATTATTAGTCCACAATTCATAAGGAGTTTTATTATTTAAAGTGGCTGATACTGTCCGGTTCTTGATCCTCCTATGGAGACATTCTCCATTGGTCCGCACACGTCGGTATGCACCACATTAAGTAACTGAGTGCTTCTGTTGCCATTGCTGGGGAACGGCAAACGGCTCTGCTTCCCCTTACAACAAGTTATACAGGAATTTTTGCTTATATCTGCCTTCTCTTCAATGGATAAGCCTTCAACAGCTTTCTGCATTTTATTCAGGTAAGTACTATTGACATGACCAAGTCTTCGATGCCACATCTCATTAGATACCACCGCTGCTGCTGACAGGTGCACTGGTGTATTCAGTTTGTACACCCCATTGACTAAGGTGCCTGTGGCCACCAAATTTCCCATTCTGTTGTAGATATCACAACCACTCTCTCTGAAGGATACTTTATTGCCTTTGTTTATTAATTGACTCACGGAAAGTAGATTTGTTGTCAGACTTGGAACGCACATAACCTCTTCAACTGTAACATCATAATTACAATTATTTGCACATGTAGTAATTTTTACGTCACCAAAACATGTAACTTGCACTTTGCTGTCGTTCGCCACTACGATTTCTTTCATGCTGTGATCATAACGTGCATTCTGAATCCAATGTTCATTTGTTGTTAAATGCACGCTCGCTCCCGAGTCAATATACCAGTCAGTCTTACTATAAAAACCATTAAGGAAGACTGCACTAAATGCGTTTGTTTGTTTATTTTCCATTTCTTTCACAGTACTTGTGCACTGATTCCGATAGTGTCCCAACTTTTTGCACTTAAAACATTTAATAACTTTGGGTTTCGACATGTGCATCTGCCCGCCATCTTTATCTTTGCTTAGAAACAGACTTTTAGTTTTTTCTATCGGTTTCTTATGTTGGTACGGCCTACTTTTAAAACTTCCAAAGGCAGCACTATCGCTTTCATTCACTTCTGTTTCCATTTCCATGTCAAGTAACTTTGATTTAATGGCGTCCGTTGTAATATGCATCCCCGAATGTTCGATTGCCATTATCATTGGGGAGAATTTTTCAGTTAATCCAGCCAATAATAATGAACCTATCCATTCGTCACTGATGTTAAATCCTGTTCCCGCTAATTTTTGTCCCGTTTCCACTAACTGAGTAACATAGGAATTCATTGAAGGAGAATTTTCCAGACGAATTGATATGAGACTTCTCAATAGGCTTATTCTTCTAGTAAATCCCGAATCGTCATATAAAGATTTAAGTTTATCCCATAATTCCTTTGTAGATGTAACTGCTTTGATGTGCACATAAATAGAAGGATCTATTGTTAAAATCAATTTAGCACGGGTTTTAGCATCTTCGGCTGCAGAAATTGCTGGTTGACCTGCTTCTGGTTTGATAATTCCAAGCGTGCCTTCCAACACAAGAAAATTTTCTGCCGCGAAACACCATTCCAAGTAATTTTCGCGTCCTTTGAGCTTGGGAACGTTTATTAAATAATTTGAATGCGACGCCATTTTTCACTGAACTACACAAGCACTTATTTCACAACTATACTGTTCCTTTACTGCAACTATTGTAAAAAAAATAATACACTGTCGCGAGAAACTAATCAGATTATGCCAGATCTATACGTTCTGGGCCCATAACCTATTAATAATTTATTATTAATTTATATGAAATAAAACAACGTGCTTTCTTCTCAACAAGACAGAAGGAATGGAATGAATTTTATTATAAGGTCACTGATGTACATTGCTGTTAACAGGTGGCGCTGATAGTTGTTTTGAGGAAATTATAACACTTTTGTGACGCGAGCGAAGCCGCGGGTAAAAGCTAGTTTTGATATAAAGTCGAAAACTCAATATTAAATACAGGTTGGAATAGCTTGAACTGCCAGCCACTGTATATGATCATAAGCTGCTTCTCAGCTATTAAATAAGACATAAACAAATAAAACAGCGTAACATCATTTAAATGTTCCTCTTTGCCCATTAAGGAATAAAAAACTTGAAGTCATGTTATTTAATATCATTTGTTTTAATTAATAAATATATTTAACTTATAATGTTAATAAACTACCTGTAGTTAGTAACAATATACAAAAATATATATCTTCTATCTATATCAGATATAAAAAAATATTAAAATAGTTACTTTTTTGGCTTTAGTTAACTGGCTGAAAATACTTGTATCCAATCTTATTAAAATAGTTTTCTTAATTATTTCCGTCATGTTCTACACGACTATTAAAAAAAATAGAATAATTTGATAGGTTCTTACTTTTAAATTATTGCTAAATTACGCATGAGCTGTATTTTAAGAATTTGTCGAGCTATTTACAAGTTGTTTTTTATTATTTATGAAATAAACAGGAACATATATATTTGAATAATCTGATTTTCTTTTCATATGTTTTAAATGTTAATATTAGCAATTGAAAATAGAAAATAAAAATAAATAGCTATTTCACAAAATACAGTTCATACCTACACATAAGGTACATAACAACAAGGCACATAATAGGTAATTAAAATTACTTAAAACTATATCTTAAGTTGCCTAAATGTAGAAATTCGTTGCCTTTAAGCTGCAACTAGTTTAAATAATCACTTTATCATACTTTCAGTATTATTATATTATTATGACAAGTAAAATATATAATAAAGACAGCAATACAGTCTATGAGGAAATCTTAAAATTTAAATGCACCAGTATTAAAATACTATTAGCAATTTTTTTGCTAATGGTAAACAAGTTGTCGTGTATATAATACTGTTATAATTTTAAAGTACAGATTTTTTTCTCAATATCTCAATTTTAGCCTCTGTAATTTAGTATTTTTTGCATGTTCCATTTAGTAAATTTTTATTTGTAGGTATTTTCACCTTCCCACAATACTATTGAATTAACCATGACTGTGAATCAATCCAAGTCCTTTGTTTACCATTACAAATCACTAATAGCAACAAACAATCTTCAATAAACTAACTACTAGGTGTAAGTTCAACAATCTTACCAGTCCGTTCATCAACACCATCCACTATAATCGGTTCATCAACCGTTTTAACTTCATTCACTTCTACCTTGTCCAATTTTTCTACTTTTTCCTTATCTGTGGCTAATTCTAACATTAAAGTTTCTAGTTTCTGAGCTTTTCTTGTCTCGTTGTGTGTGATTAGAGCACATAAGTGTTCTGTTAGTAGCTCTTTTTTCTCCTTCTCCTTTTGTAAGTGTATCTTCGCTTGCAGGAACTCTTTCTCTACTTTCAAGTAGTGTTTTCTGTAAAGTGATGTTTCTGAATCAGTTATGAGTGTGTTAAACTAAAATGTAGTTGACAAAATAGTTGTTTTTCTTGATATGAAAATTAAATGGGGAGATATGAGAGTCCCAATTTATAAAGGAAGATGAGACTGGAAGATACTAAAGCTAAAAAAAAATTTATAGATCCAAAACATTCTTATACAGAGAAAAATGTAACTAACAGTAGTTTTAAGTAATTACTTGCTATAAAAAGTAATTCAAAATGTAAATTTGCTTTTATCATTGACCCCATGATACTTGAAAATCTCCCTAACTAATTAGGGATGCAAATGCTATGCTTATAGTTGTTTTTGTTTTTTCTTATAATTAATTTTAATCTTTAGTTGTATATAGGTATTTAATTTAGTAATATTTAGTTTTTTTTTTAAGTAATAGTTAGTTTTTAATTTAAGTTTTTTATTTGAATAAATGAGTTAAGAATGCTATGCTTTGCTATGCTTGAAGATATATATATTTTTTGTAAATAAACTTACTCTGCGTCAGCATAGCTCAAACAAGCCTGATCGATCTTCTGTCTCAGTACAGAAACATCTTGTGAGAACTGACTGTCCAGTACTTGTAGCTCCTTCTTAATCTTCTCCAGTCTCATCACCTCTTCTGTAGTTTGTTTTGTCCTGTTGAAAAAAAATTGTACCATTTTAGGAACCTTGTCTTCAAAGTGAAATGGTGTTAATACGACTGAAATTGGATTTTTTAATTTAGGAATAAGGACCAATTTTGTTTGCCTCTAAGTCAAATTCCTTATTAAATTTAATTCCATAACACCGAAACACTAATCTCCAAACTAATCGATGGTGTGACACCGTGAGAGAGATGCCTGCATCGTTGGCGCAGTGGTTGGACAACTGGCTGTATATGGAACAATTTTTGTGTCAATCACAAATTCCGGAACAATAGTACCGAGGCTGGGCGTAAAGTATATGCCCACTAGTGTGAGGCGACGTGTTGGAAAGCCATGCTTAGGCACGAATGGGCCAGCTCGACTAGATCGATACCACGTCCTCACAGAAAACTGATGTGAAACAACGCTTACGTTGTGTTTCGTCGTGTGAATGAGGTTATCAGAGGTTCAATTACCCAATGTCCCCAAAAAACTTCAAATTCCTATTCCCCAAAAGGCCGGTAACGCACTTGTAACGCATCTGGTGTTTCAGGTGTACATCGGCGGCGATTGCTTGCCATCAGATGATCTGCCAGCTCGTATACTTGATTATCCCATAAAAAAATCTGTTGCTCTTTGCCAAGCGGAATACAGGGAGGCGTAGACAATTAGGTATTCCACAAAGTATAACCAGATCAGGCGCGACCCCTTAGCAATAAATATCAAATTGTACTAAATGCAGTATATCCTCCTTACACCCTTTAACTTAAAATATATATCTAACAAATTTACACCATTATATCAACCACAATTTTGAATAAAACATCACATGTTATTTATACATACAAAAATAACTCACTACACATAAAAACCACTACCTAAATACCGTAAATAGCACAAAATACAAACCATATAGTTTTAGTGACCAAATTGTAAAATTTGTTTAAATTAACCATTTTTGTATATGAATTTATTTGTAGGATACAGATAAATGTCAGTACAGGACATTTGAACTGAATAGTGCACACTGAATCATTGTCGGTTGCTGGAGATAAAAACTGAACGCCACTTGAATTGATAATAGGTTTATTGATAAAAAGATATACTGAAGGCTGAAACTGCGAGTTTATTCTATTATTATTTGGATTTACTATGGATTTATTAGAACGTATTTTAAATAAACCCTTTTCGATAATTTGGTAAGTGCCTAATTAGAGTTCTATGCAGTGGCGTAACTACACCGTTTGAGGCTCGTGACAAATTCATCTGGTGGCCCTTCCTTCCCAATACAAAAAAGAAAGAAGTTTAATAGATAAACGGAGCACTTCCAATCGGGGGCTCGTATCATTGTGTAACCCCCTATAGTTACGCCACTGGTCCTACGTATTAAAGCGCAAATCTATTGCCATCCATTGTAATCCATCTTTTCGTTATTACTATTAATACCGAGAATTTCGAAAACAGAAAACCCTAAAAGAATGTTCGATCCAGTAATCCAATGGGAGACCCATTGGCTGACTCTACCAATGAAGCAATGTTAAACTTAATAACACATTTCGTATTATAAACAAATACAAGTTAAACCAGCAACAAAATAGCGTTGAGTCGGCTTCATTGTAGGTATTTATTTATGCTGTGAGAATAACCAGACGAAGCCTATTCTATTGTGAGGCCTAAAAATATTTGTTTTCACTCGCACAATACACCAAACATGTGAAGAAATATTTTGCGTATAACATCATCGCCGTTAATAATTCTAGATCGAGTAGGCGAAGTAGAATGCTTGCCATGCAAACGCCAGCCGGTGAACCTGTCCAATAATTTTATAATAACTATCGTGAGATGTACTAAATTAATTAAAAATCGCAGGTTACTCACGGGGGATACTGAAAAAAATCTGTAGAGCTTTACAGAGGATATCTTCCATGATACCAACGCAAGCGCCGACGCTAGCCAGTACGATGCGCGACAGCGCCGACGCTGCTCATGAGGAAGAGCCCCTCTGTGGCTCGAAACTAGTAGAGCTTTTCTCAATATTTTCACGTGAGTAACCCGCGATTTTTAGTACATTGACCTGCTGCTGGTAACTGCTTACATTTGGTTAAAAATTAGATGCTGTGTATTGTACAAGCACCAATGATACAGGAGAATATCATACTAAACGAGGGAAATCACAAATGTCTAAAACGTTCGTTCAACCTGGAAACCGAACTTTAGTGTACACTGTATAGTGTGTAATGTTTCCTAAGTTAGGAAGAAAAGGAAGGATCCTCCGACCAGGCGAGGTCATCACATCTAGTGGTACCTACTGTACCTCTGATGTTGCACCAAGAACTATTCTTGCGAACATTTAAACCAGTAGATACTTCATATTCGTGTCAAATTGATTAGTTATGGCATATAAATTGACAAAATATACATTTGAACAATTTAGTTATACAGATCAATTTGTTTTGGTCTCGTCAGTCTTTCTTCACAGTTCATTGACCTTCGATGAGATGCGCGCTTTTTTCTCTTTGTAATGAACTAGCTATTCAGCTTCTATTGATCGTAGGGTGACATTTTATAGCCTACCTCAATAAATTCACTATCCAGTACAAAATGAATTATTCAATTCGAACCAGTAATAGGGTAGATCCCTAATTTTTATTTTAATGTCCGTCTGGAAGATTATTTTAAATCATTAGACACGAATTTTTTATTTCTTACAGAAGCGAATAGGCACTTTTGATGATATATTGATTTGAAATGTCGCGTGACGTCACTTCTATGTACATTTTATACGTATTTATGACGTTTTAGGAATCGTATCAAAGTTTATGAGTGGGGGCACTCATAAACTTTGATTCGTTGTATCCAAGTATTGTTTTATTACTTATACGACAAAATAAAAAAATACGTGTCTAATATCTTTTCATTACATATCAGATTTTTAATTTTCATACCCTGTCATCATCCCAATTCCGAAGATTAGCGCGTCCAGATAAACAAATTCTTCGACTTTACATATTAGTAAAATATAGACTAGCTTTTTGCCCGTTCATATATTTTATTCGCCATTCAATGGACCTGGGAGAAATGAAACAATATTAGAATAAAAAATACATACCTATCAGCTAGAGCCTTAGCTAGCATCTCTTTCCTCTTCTTATTCTGTTCTTCCATTAACTTCTGTCTCAACTGCAGTTCATGTAACTTCATCTTATGGTTCTCCAGTTCATCTTCAGAATAATTCTCAACTCCTCGCACAATATCCGGTGGTGCATCTATACTTTGCTTTCTATCACTTATTACTTCAGCATTTTCAGTAGCCATTTTGTTAATTTTATCATTGTTGTTAACATTAGATTCTACACTAGTTTCTTTATTAGACTCTGTTCTAACATTATCATTATTGTCAACATTTTCTTTATTATTTTTATTTAATGTTTCTATTGTTGTATCATTGTTCGGTGTTGTCGGCGATCTCAAGCTAAGTTTACATTTGTCAAACTGTATATTGTCTATAGCATCATCGGAGCTCAGGGTTTTTAGGATGGGTTTTGACTGTTTGAATTCGTTAATGGGTCTCTTTGGTCTAGCACCAATTTTGTCAATTTTTCTAACATTTGACATGTTGATTTGTCGACCTGTGACACAATTATTGCAGTATTAGTAAAGCACAAAGTGATTTTGCTATGAATGGTAGGAATACATTAATTTAACTCCTGTAACGTAGAATTGAATACTAATTTGTTACTTCGCATTCTTTTTGTAGGACATGAAATGTAGACTATGGTGAGTACTTATTTTATATTGTAAAATATAAACAATATCATCACGCCTTTTATCCCTGAAGGGGTAGGCAGAGGTTCACATTACAGCACTTATTACCACTTATAATGTAACACCCAGTTTTCACTATTTATGTTATGAGTACTGTGTAACACAGGGTAAGCCTATTGCAATATACCGGGCACGATTCTGGACTTCATGTTACTACTGAGAATTAAAAAAAAACAGTAATACTTTGCCTGACCTGGGAATCAAACCCGAGACCGCTTGCCCAGCCTTGACTATCCAGTACAAAATGAAATATTCTATTAGAAACAGTTTTGAAGATTAGCGCATTCAAATAATAATAAAATTGCAATATTTTTTTAAATACTCATCCTGATATTTTTCTGTATCTAATTTTTAATTAGTATGTACTCAAATTTACAGAAAAATAAATCATATTACCCATTTATTGCACACTATAAAGTCAAAGTCAAAATCATTTATTTCAATTAGACCAGGATGGCACTTTTGAACGTCAAACAACAAAAAATTATAAGTGAAGCTAGTTGCTCATTCCAAGGCGTAGATTCCTATGGAGAAGAACGAGCAAGAAACTCCATAACTCCAACTCCATATAATTAAAAGATTATATCAATAATTCAATATACAACCTTGATAATTTCTAATCAGATTCATCTATGATTCATATTGAATTATTTTACTAAGTGCAGAAAACTGGCAGCACAGCCATGCATAGATCACATTCTCTTTTGATAAAACTTTTTTAGTAAAACCTTGACTTCCGTGTGGAATAGAACATATTTATGGCTGAATTTTTTATGACTTTAATTATTACATCAGATGAGATCATCAAGATATTAAGTATCAGTGTAGAATCATAACACATAACAAATACCTATTAGAAATAACTTTTTTACTAAAAATAATAATCTATCATAAATAAAATGTTTAATCCTTCCCGGTGCTTTTGACTCTTAAGCTAATTTAATTTGGTTGTGTTAAATTTTGGAGAGCCAGTCTCTATTCGCAGTATTACTAATTTAGTCATTCTCTTTGTTTTAATGGCCATGAACTAGTTATGGTATAAACAATATGATAAAATTAGTTACGAATGGGATATGTGTACTTACCGCTGTTCGAGCCAGTTTCGCCGGATTTTATTCTTTTCAACTCTTCTTCACTGAAACCCGAGAAAGTCGACATTGCACAAATATATCAAGTTTTTCCTTTAATTCTTCTCCTTTTTTGTAGTTCAGTATACAATTAAAACGTAAATTAGTAATCGAATAAACAAAACCCGTAATTCTTATAAAAATCCACAAGTTCGTGACGACGACAGACACGATAATCGGTCGACCTATTTTGTTTACTTGTTGACGTTGACATTTTTACTAGTATGACAGATGACAGAAATGACAAATGACGATGATGCTGTTTGATAGGAACGATTCCATAGACTCTTGATGGCGTGAAGGTTGTCTTTTCATCTGTTTGTCTATGTTTTCATACTGTCATTCTCTCTGCTTGGTGTTAGCGGCTCCGGGTCGGCTTGTTAGCATTTTAGGTTATATTTTGTGTTTAGTGAAACAAAAGGTATTTATTTCTAGCGGTATTGTTGTCTTCAGTTAATATTTTACATTATAATATTAAGTGTGACTTACTTGTTTACAGATAATACTATAAAAATGGCGGCGGCAATGCCAATAAACCCTAAACCATTCCTCAACAGTTTAACAGGCAAGTCTGTGCTAGTTAAACTGAAATGGGGCCACGAATACAAAGGATTACTTGTATCCGCTGATGGATACATGAACCTACAATTAGCAAACACCGAAGAAATTGTAGACGGCTCGTGTACAGGTCAGTTTGTTTGTATTACAATCCGATTATTTGTACTCAGTCGTCCCAAACGTACAGCTTCTAACTAACAAGGTCCCATGAATGTTGTTGTACATTATAAATATAGTTATGTGTTTATCAACAGTGTTTAAAACAGAGTTTATAAAGCAAAAGGGTAGTTAAATGATCTCTCATTATACTTTTAAAATTTGCCCAACCCATATAAAATATTCTTCCATGAGCGTTTACAATCCCAATTTCGCTAGCGCTTAGCACTTATTGCAGAATAGTTTTTACCCAGCCAGTGTCAAAATAATGTGTAACATCTCCATTATACATGTCCTTTTGGGTTAGACTGGAACAATAGATTTAGAATGACATGACAAAAACAAAATTATAATAATTATAAAGTATATTTTTTAATTTCAGGAAACCTTGGAGAGGTTTTAATACGTTGCAATAATGTGCTATATGTAAGAGGCGCTGAGGAAGAAGATGAAGAAGGAGAAATGAAAGAATGAAATAACTCTTTACGACTATAAATAAGGCTTAGATTAAGATTTCACTACTTTAAGTTCTAATAAAGATACATTGTATCTACACTTCTGTGATTTATTTATGCCAATTATTAACCTTCTAAATGCCACCATTGTCTATAACCAACAAGAAAACATTTTTTGATACAAAATAGATAAATATTTATTTATTTATTTAATCTTTAATGTACACAATTTTAATATGGCACATAAGGTGGACTTAATGCCATATGGCATTCTCTACCAGTCAACCTTAGTGTAGTGTTAGTAGTAGTGTTTATTTTTCTTGTTATTATAAATATACCACAATTTAAAAAATGGCTCATATAATAACAATTAAACTGAATAATTCTTAATTAGTTTTTGTAGTGTAGTGATCTAAGAATGTATTAGTCGTAATCTAGACTTCATCTATTAAACACGTGTATCCTAATTAATTATTGTTTCCTTTACACCCGACACCTCATGGCGACCCTGCCAGAGGCGCGACTCGGGTACGCGCGATTATTTACATTCCGTTGCCCATAAAAGGAACCAGTATTAGGAACTCTCCAAGTAAGCTGTAGAAAGTTTCAAGGATGACGAATAGTCGACAATTATTGTTCATCGCGGCGCCTGTTTACGGGGCGTTACACCGGTTTCACAGTCAAACACCGAATTTTTTAATTTACAATAATGGGGAAGACCATTTCTAAGGAAGAGCTGATAGTGATCGCACAAAATGCTGGCAGATCGAATAATGCTGATATTACCCAGTTTATGAGCCATGCAAGTACTACGAGTATAATACTTCTTATGATTGTGGCCATGTTTATTTGTGGAGGTGCTTGCTACGTACTGCTGATACTATATAGAAAGTGTCAAAGACATCTTATGCGGCAGGAGATATTACGACATTCTCTACGTCGAGGAACGACTAGGGCGAGAGGTGCTCAGAATACCGCTGAAGTTTCATACAAGGTTGGCGAAGTGTAAATGTAGTGTTGTGCGCGAGTATGGTGAAATCGATTGCTCATAAATGAGTACAAGTGAATTGTGTTTGTGCAAGATTAGGAAAAGTTTTTCTGATACAGTCGATATCAATAATATAAACTTTTACTCTCGTATAAAGACAATAAGTTACTAGTGTAAGACTGTTACGCCTGGTTTATTATTATGTTCGCGTTGCAATAATATTGAAGTGCATTTCCATTTGTGTAATTTAAAAGGTAATGGCCCATCGTCTTAAAGACATTTATGAAAATTTTAAAAGTATAAAGGAGTATTTAACTAAGTTAGGGCCAAGTCGTAGAACTCAAAACATTATCGAGAAAAAACTGAATGAGACTAATATTATACATGATAATTTTTTAATTGTGAAATCAAATTTAGATAAACAAATTAAAAGGAAGGACTTTACGAGCAGTGATTTAGAGACAATTCAGAACCTATGTACGGATATTAGTAGTTTATATGCTCGTATAATACAACTTTGCTGTAGTGACACGCAAAAGAAAATTGTCAAAATGGAAAAATTCCAATTAAAAACGGCGGTAGCTCTATTACCTGTAATGAATTCTGACGAAAAAATTACAAAGAGTCTCATTTCGGCAATTGAACTTTATTCCTCTATGATAGAAAAGGATGACGAACAGTTGTTAATTAATTTTGTATTGAAGACCCGTCTTTCCGATAGTGCGAAACTACGTTTACAACAAAGTTATTCCTCCTGTGATGAACTACTTAAAGAAATGCGTTTACATTTATTAACTAAAAAATCTAGTAATGCTGTTCACGCAGAAATGGTTAATTGTGAACAGAAACTAAGTAGCATTGATGAATTCGGAAAGAAAATAGAACAACTGTTCGTTGACCTAACTATTGCTCAGGCCGATGGCAATACACAAGCTTTTGCCATTCTAAAATCGGTCAACGAAAAGTTAGCTATTAATAGATTTATAAATGGTTTACGTAACAAAAATTTATGTGTGATCTTAGCAGCACGAAATTATACTACTCTTAAAGACGTCATACGTGCGGCAAAAGACGAAGAACAAATAGGTAAAGGCATTGCGAATTCAACGGAAGGCGAAATAATGATGGTTAACAACGAAAAACCTGGTGAGTCAAATACACAGAGCCGTTTTTTCAGAAATTCATCGTATTATCACGGGAGAGGCACCCGGGGAAACTATCAGCGAGCTCCCCGAGGCTATTACAATCAAGGGTGGCAGCGACAGTCAGGTAATAATAACAACCGTGGTCGTAGTACATACAGGGGGCAGAGAGGAAGATACCAAAATCGAGGTATGTACCCTTTAAATGCAGATCTTTTAGAAGTTAATGAAATATCTACTAAAGACGATATTCAATCCTCTACTGCGGAAAACAATACGAATATGTTTTTTCGTGCCTAATTTACTGTCATGTGAATTTAGTAATTATGTCAAAATCCCCTATAACAACGTAACTTATAATTGGTTAGTAGATTCTGGTGCCAGTATATCAGCCGTAAAAAGCGAGACAGTTGCTCAATGGAATTTACCCATCCATAAACAAAATATTATCATAAATGGTATTGGGGGTCGTATAAAGTCAGAAGGATATGTGTGCTTAAAACTATTTTTAAAAGACAATATATTTGAGCATAATTTTTATGTTATTAAAAATCTACCATGTTTCGCTGAAGGTATATTAGGCCAAGATTTTCTTACTAAGCATAGATGTATCTTAAATTATGAACTTAATACCTTAACTATACTCGAAAATACATCCTTACCATTACATTTGGGCCAATTAAATCACAATATTCCTTTAAAGGTACCACCAAGATGTGAAAAAGTTTTTTACATTAATACTACCGCAGTTGAAGATTGTGTAGTAATCCCAGAGGAGTTAGGTGAAGGAATATATTTAGCTGGTGGTATTGGAAAACCAGTAGATGGTAAAATTCCAATTCAAATTCTAAATACTAGTGAACAAGAAATATCTTTGAATTATTTTGATCCTAAATTAGAAAAGCTACGTGATTATGAGATATGTAACTTTGAAAGGTCTACAATAACAGTAGATAGGGTAAAAATGTTATTAAATCAACTAAAATTAGATCATTTAAATGACGAGGAAAAATCTTCAATACTTAATATATGCGCTAAATTTTCAGACGTTTTTCATATTTCTGGCGACAAATTAGAGGTTGCCAATATCAAAGAGCAAAAGATACGGTTGAAACAGGGTACGTACCCTATATATACTAAGCCTTATCGTTTACCGTTCTCACAGCGAGAGGAGTTAGATCGACAAATAAGCGATATGTTAAAGGATGAAATTATTGAACCATGTAGCAGTGAATGGGCTAGTCCGATTTTACTGGTCCCAAAAAAGGAGAATACGGATGGCTCTAAGAAAATGAGACTTGTTATAGATTTTCGCAAACTTAATAATTGTATTTTAGACGACAAATTTCCTCTGCCCAATATCACTGATATTCTTGACGCACTATCAGGATCAATCTATTTTAGCCATCTTGACCTTTATAAGGGTTATTTTCAATTGGGAATAACAAAAGAAAGTAGACCATGCACGGCATTCGTAACCCCTTCAGGACAATACCAAATGACTAGACTTCCCATGGGTTTGAAAACAAGTCCGAGTTCTTTTTCAAGGGCCATGACAGTGGCAATGTCTGGTCTGCATCATGAACAATGTCTTGTCTATCTAGATGACTTAATTTGTTTTGGACGCAGTTTGGCTTCACATAACAAAAATCTCATTGACATAATGCTTACATTACGAAAAGTAAATCTTAAGTTGAATCCAGGCAAATGTGATTTTCTAAAAAAAGAAATTTTATATTTGGGCCACGTTATATCCGCTGAAGGTTTAAAACCAGACCCGTCTAAAGTGTATGTATTACAAAATTATCCAGTTCCAAAATCTTGCGACGAGGTCAAAAAGTTTGTCGCCTTTGCAAATTACTATCGCAAATTTATACCCGATTTTGCGCTATTAGCCTGTCCATTGAATAATCTTTGTCGCAAAAATGTAACTTTTAAGTGGTCTGAAGAATGTAAAAACTCTTTTTTGGCACTAAAGGAAAAATTGACATCATCTCCATTACTGCAGTACCCCATTTTCGATAAAAATAATGTTTTCCTTCTAAAAACGGATGCTTCTGGCTATGCAATAGGGTCTATTTTATGTAATGGTGATGGTAGACCAATCGCTTATGCAAGCCGTACTTTAAATAAAGCCGAAAAGAACTACCCAGTTATTGAAAAAGAACTTTTAGCTATTGTATGGTCAGTAAAATACTTTCGTCCTTATTTGTTTGGTCGGAAATTCAAAATACAAACAGATCATCGTCCTTTGATATATTTATTTGGTATGAAAGAGCCTAGTAGTAGACTTATGAAATTTCGACTTGTACTTGAAGAATATGACTTTGATATAGAATTTGTAAGAGGGAAGGATAATGCGGCAGCGGATGCACTATCTCGTATAATTATAACGTCTGACGAGCTAAAAACTATTAACAATGATTGTATAACAGTTATGACGCGATCTAAAGCAAAATCAATTTTAAAAAGTAACAATAATGACCACAAAGTGGATAAGAGCGCGACAAACGAATTGTCACCAAGTCAGCCGAATATAGTTGAAATACTCAAAAAGACTGACAACGACGTTGAAATTACACTTATAGATAAAATGACTCTAAATAAGATGAAAATGAGAAAAAGTTATTATAAATCAAATAATGAGGTTTTTTATTACGTTCCTACAGATTTAACTATTTATGTTAATCCAAATTCTTTATTAACATTGACGCGAGGCGAATTGTTAAAAGAATTGGAATATTTTTGTAAAGAATATCGAATTATTGAACTTGTGATAAGGAAAAATCAACAAAATAAAAAATTAATTGAAATTATTGTCGGAGAAATAAGTAACAATGACAAATGGAAGGGACCTAGAATTTGTGTAATAAACGACGTAAATAGAAT